TGGGGCCCACACCTGGAGCGTGTTGAGATGGTGACTGAGACTGGGCGTGGTGCCGCATGTCTTTAATCCCAGCACTTGGTAGGCTCTAGATAGGAGAATCACTATGCGTCCAATCTAGTAGTGAGACCCTGAACACCCTGTAGATCCTTCCCTAAATACAGGGGAAAAAAAAGAATATGGTGCCTAAAATATTAAAAGTTAAAACATTAGCATTGTATGTCACCTGATAATATTCTTAATGATTAAAGGCAAAATAAATATTTTTCTCAAACAAAATTCTGGGAATTCATTGTCAGTATGCCTCAAGAAACATTGAACATATATTAAAAGAAAAGAAATGTTAAAAATGGAAGGAAAAGGATATAGATCAGAAAACTTGGATTAGCATGAAGAAGAAATAGCTTCATAAGAGGACTAAATGGAGAAAAAATAAGATTTTTCATATTGTTAACTAGTCTAAGAAATAACTTTAAAATAACCATAGGAATAAAGTACTGGAAGCATGTAGCACGTAACATGTGTTCTGAGTGGCACAAAGAACAATGGAAAAGACTGTTACAACCTATCTATACAACATGTGAAGCAGTATACTGTCAGGCAGTATTTTTACATTAGTTATATATTTTAAACTTGAAGGAAACCACTGATTTTTAAAAGATCTATAATCGGCATGCAGGCAGAGAAGTAAAACCCATGACAGCCTGAAAAAGAAGAAAAAATACAATAAATAAAATCCAGTATGGTAAACAATAATCCCATTATATAAAATAATAACTCTAAAAGTAAAAGGCTTAGATCAGTGATAGCGAACCTTTTAGAGACAAATGCCCAAATAGCAATCTTATTTATCACAAAGTGCCAATGCTGCAGTTAAACCTGAATAGCTAAAACCTGAATGCTTTTTGTTTAGAAAAAAACATTAACATATTTTGTCTTAAAAAAACAAACAAACAAACAAATAACAAGTGTGTTGTAAGTTTGCCAACATTGGCCTAGATACACCAATTAAATGTTAGGGACTGTAACCATGAGTAAAAGCTGCAAGGTTCTGATTTTCTATTACCTCTGCCAGAAAAACAGAAACAAAAGGAATACTCTCTAACTCATTTCATGAGGCCAACACAACTCTAAGGAAAGCTGTTTCTCATGAACATGGATGTGAAAATTCTCTACAAAATATTAGCAAGTCAAATTCAACAATATGTAAAAATGATTTTATGTCATGATCAAGTAGGATTTATTCCAGATTCAAAGCTGGTTAAACATCCAAAAATGTAATTCATTGCATCACCTACTAAACAGGAAACATATGATATTATCAAACGATACAGAAAAAATTCTTGACAAAATTCAGTACTCATTCATGGTGAAAATGTTCAGCAAACTGAGAAAGGAGGAGAATTTTCTCATGTGGATTAAGATCTACAATAACCTGACAGCCAATCCTAAATGGAGACAAATTAGACACTTTTTCTTCTAAAATTAGAAACAATATGGATATGAAGTGAAAATAAAATATGTACAGATTATGAAAGAGCAAATGAAGTAAAACTTTTTGCATGTGGCGTGTCTATGTAGAAATTCCTGAAGAACTAGCATTAGAAATTTTGAATGAATAGCAATGGTTCTTTGACAAAGAAGGAAAGACACTTTAAGTAGAGAAAGGACAGTCTTTTCAACAGTGTCAAAACAATTGGCTATCCATATATTTTAAAAATGAATTGAGGTCTAGACTTTACAGTTTTATCAAAACTAATACAAAATCTGTCATAGAATTTATAATAAAATTCAGAACTAAATTTCTGCAGGGTGACATGGGAGAACTTGAATTTAAGTAATCTATGTTGTAATGGATTATAGTACAGTTAGAAACATTTGTATACAGTGTTTAGCTTAATATAAATACAAATGGCTACACACACACACACATATGCACACACGCACACACACACACATATTTTCTTTGCCAGTTGAGAGGGTCTAAAAGAAATTATACCTCAATAGTAAAGACCACACCCAGTCCTAGCTCTTGGTTTCTAATATATTCTCCAATGTAATGAACTAGGGATACTTTTATTTTATTTAAAAAAATAAAATAAAATTTTAAAAAATGAATTGTGGTGGATATATGCCAAAGCACTTGGAAACTGGCATAATGAGCTGTCAATGGCCAAAACTGGAATAATTTAAGCAACAAAAGTAAGTAAAGTATTGACTTTTAGTTATAAATACAAAATGAATATCCATGAATTTGCACTGATTTATACAAATGATTAAATAAGATATTAAAAAAATAGGTAGACATAGAGATTATGGCACAAAGACTTGTAATTCCAACCCTCTATGATGCTGAGGCAGGAAGACAAGAAGTTCAAGTACAGTCTGGGAAACTTAGCAATTTAGCAAGACTTTATCTCCAAATTAAAAAATAAAATAAAATAAAAGGGACTGATGATTAATATAGCTTAAGGTGAAGGTTCTACATTACATCACTAGTACTGCAAAATAATAATAATGAAGAGGAGGAGCAGGAGGAGGAGGAGAAGGGAAGAAGTTCCAATTTTGTGTTGATACTCCAATGTCAATGATGGGGAGCTCTGCTCCTCTCTTTTTGTGGCCTTTAGATAGTGACTGCCTTTCTGATACAGCATAAAAAGGGATAGGGTATAAAAGAGAGAAACATTACCATGGAGCAACCTGACACACGTGCCTCAGCCAAGTGACTAAGGTTATTATCCATGTGATAATTCACAACTGAACTAGGGATTGTGCTGCATGTATTTTATGAGACTGATTGTGCTGCATGTATTTTATGAGACTTGATGAAAATGGCATTTGACCCTGCAGTCTTCTTCCTAAAAACCAATACCCTACACTGATTATGAGTGCAAACATCAGACAAAAGCAAGTGGAGGGAATTCTGCAATATTTTAAACAGGCATCCCGCAAAAATGTCCAGGTCATGAAAAACAACAAAATTGAGAATAACTGTTACAATCAAGCATAATGTGACATCCTGGGTGAGATATTGAAATACCATAAGAACATTAGGTAGAAACTAGAGTGCTGAATAAACCATTAACTTCAGTTAATAATGTATCAACATTGCTTTCTTAATTATGATAAGGGTACCATGCTAATGTTTGATGATACCAATAGGAGAAGCTGGGCATGAGGTGGATGGGAATTCTCTGTACTATCTTCTCAACTTTTCTGGGAATCTAAAACTATTCTAAAAGTAGAGTCCATCAAAACAACAACCATTACCTAAGTCTTCAAAAAAGTTTGGAGACACTCTGGGTGCTTCTGATTATTTCTTCGTCTGACCCCTACCTGCCTGACCCAGTACTACCCAAGCTTACTGTTAGGACTTTAGTCTATCTTTTCATGATTAAGTAATGAGAACCATTGACAAAGGCTAATTCATGGGGTGATGTGACTCCACAGGAATTTTAAGAACACCTTGTGATGGGTGTACCACAGGGTGTGTGCAGAGAGTAAGCAAGAGAGACCAGCTTGAAGCCTATTGCAATAGTTCAGTGGATAAATAACCTCAGGCTGAGATCAGGAGGTATTGATAAGTGACGTGTGGAGCTGACCCTAGTATCATGACTCAGATGAGAAAAATGTGGTGAGTGTTGCGTGGGGTTGGGTGGGTAGCAAGGAACCTGCACTGCCATTCAAATCTATTAAATCTGAGCATCTATGGACCCTTTAATAGGTGTGCCCATAATGCACTTTCCTGCCTGTGGTAGACTAGCTCTGAGTAAATTGAGAAAACCTACCCTGTTGGAGGCCAGATGAAAAGGCTTGACCTTGCTGAAGAAGCAGTCTGAAAGGGAAGTGAAATGTAGCCCCATGCCCGGCTTCCTTACTCCTCAGTTTGGGCAATGGGCCCAACAGCGGAATCAGTGTTTCTTCTGTTTATCAACTTGGTCTTGGAAAAATATCCTGGCACCAGTAAAATAAGGAAGTTTAGAGTTAACTAGGACAAATGTTGGGCACAGGATCAAGATTTCCTGTATATAAGCTTGAAGCAAAATAAATTCATTGCTGCATTGCTGTCCAGACCTCCTGACCCTAGCTTTCTTCCTTTTCATTCCACCCTTCCTCTCCCCTGTCCCCAGCTACAAGGGCTGGAACCCCGCACTACTCAAGATGTTTTGGCTAGATGGAAAGAAGGTTTAAAGGCAAGGACTGCAAACAGGTCTTCTCCCCAGGTGACAGCTCCAAATATAGTTGTGACTTGGCAGCAGAAGCTATAGGAATACCAAGGAGCCACATGCAGGAGGAACAGCCCCATCCACTCCCAATCTATGGATTCCTAATTCTGCAACCTGCTCAGAAATAGGAAGCTGCTTTTGGCTCCCATAGTCCCTGTTCGCCCAACGTTACTTCTCCCAATAGTGCTGTCACTTTCCTATGACAGAGAAGTCCTGGAGTGTCCTCTCTGCTCACTTTGCTCAGTTCTGCTTTTGTTTTATTTATGTCTTCTTCAGCTGAAGAGGCAATCTGTAAGACTTGAAACTCAGGGAAAAAAATCTATAGAAAAGCCCCTGGAAGGAGACTGTGGGGATGATTTTAAAGTCCACCAAATTCCCTCACATGCTCCCAGAACCCTCCCCCATGTGAGGAGTTGAATTATGATGGGCAGTATGGGTAGGCTGAGTTCTGCCATGAACTGGGGTTGGGATTCGTATAGGGTTGTACAAGACAGTGTCAGATTGAGATGGATATAACCCTGATCAGAGCAACCTTTCCTCTCTTCATGGCTGGCAAGTGTTACTTTCATCTGCATATGGTAATCTGCTTTCGATTTTGTTTAGATTTTTGTCCGTTTTTTAGAAGCTGCTGCACATATGGACTAATTGGCCAAGTAAAAATAAAGGATAAGATGTTGGTCCTCCTTGAGGAATTAACCTAGAGAGTCTGCTGTAGCCATTAACCTAAGAAAGAGAGGAGAAAAAGGCAAAGTAGAGGATCCCAGGATTTCCAGGATTTATTATGTATTATTGTACACATTCACAGATTCAGCCGCAATACTAGGATGAAGTCAGAGTTGCTATAGTAACAATAGTCTCAGGCAGAAACTCTGATCACTTAGGGTTGGGAATTGGGCTTGTTTGGGCTAGGTATTGGGTCATAACATCCTCTTTCCCAGTACCATCAAAGAGACATGCAGAGCGCCAGTGTCAGATTCACAGAGGAGAGGGACATCTAGGGTAAAGCTGGGCCAGCGACTCTCGCTTGCCTTATGTGGGATGGTCAAGAGACGGTGGGATGGGTTACTTAATTTTGGGTGGTCCTTGCCTCTCCTGCTTTTACTGCTGTTTCCTGACTTCCCTTTTTGCCGGCTCAGTTTCCTGGACCTGCCCCAGGGTTGAGGCAGGAACAGGTTGCACCGGGTGTTTCTCCAGCTGCTCCAGAAACTGCTGGCTCTCTCTTAGCTGTTCATCTCTCCTTACTCGCTCTTGATCAAGTCGCTGGTCTGAGAGCCTCTTCTCCTGTTCCATGTCCCCTATCCGCTCCTTCAGTCGCTCTTCCCTTTGCACCTTCTCTAGCCTGGGCTGCTGCTCCAGGTTTTCTGCTTCCTGAGGTTCTCCCTGCTCTCCCTGCTGCTTCTGCTGTGCTCCCTGGTCTGGCTGTTGTTCCCATGGGTTCTGTTGGTGCTGCTGTCCCAGGTGTGTTTCTTGCTCCTGGGGTTCCTGGGGCTTCTCCTGTCCTCTCGGGTACAGTTCTGGTTCTTGTAGCTTTTCTTTTGGTCCCTGCTGCAGTTCTGGCTCCTGTGGTTTCTGCTGTTTTCCTAGGTGCAGTTCTGGTTCTTGTGGCTTCTCTTGTTCCCGGTGCTCCTCTGGCTCCTGTGGCTTCTGCTTCGGTCCCAGCTGCAGCTCAGGCTCTGGTGGCTCCTGTGGAGGTTCCTGCTGTCTCAGACATTGAGCTTGTTTCTGAGGCTCCTGCTGCCGCTGTTGTACCAAGTGCACTTCTTGGTTTTCTGGCTCCTGTGGCTTCTGCTGCTGTCCCAGCTGCAGCTCTGGATCCTGGGTCTTCTGGGGCTGCTTCTGCTCCAGCTGCGGCTCTGGCTCCTGCAATTCCTGACCCTCCTTCTGGTCCAGATGAAGCTCTGGCTCCTGTTCCTTTTTCTGTCCCAGGTACAGCTCTGGCTCCTGTGGTTTCTGTTGCTGCCGTCCCAGGTGCAACTCAGGCTCTTGTGGCTTCTGTTCCTTGCTCTGTCCCAAGCGCAGCTCTGGCACCTGTGGCTCCTGTTCCTTGTCCTGTCCCAGACCTAGCTCTGGCTCCTGTGGCTCCTGTTCCTTTTTCTGTCCCAGGTACAGCTCTGGCTCCTG